GTCCAAGAATCTAGTAGCTGCTCAGTCCCATGAGGCTGCGTGTCCCAGCTTGTATTCTGTATATGCTGGAATCCTGAAGAAGCAGGCTCCAATGCCAGTGAAGAAATGGAAGTGCTAACAGGAGAAGGGCAAGCAAGTGAAGAACAAAACTTTCCATATTCGATTGTCCTTATATAGGCTTCCAGCAAATTAAAGATGTGCCTTCCAGACTCAAGGTCTGGATTAAAAGTCTTTGTCTTCCTGACACAAGGTATGGTTGAAGACGTGTTGTTTCTTGACTCTAAATCTGATCACAAGTGTAGCCTTAGTGTCTGGATTATGGTTCATCCCAGATATAGTCAAATAAACCACCAAGAATAGCCATAACAGTTGCAGACCTTAGATTTGGGCCAGGTGAGTCACCTGGACAGGAGACCAACACTAGGAAAGAGATCTACTTTAAGCTATGCTAAAGAATAGGTAGAATAATTAGTCCTTTAATGAGACCGTAGGCTAATCCTTCTCAGATACTCACTCCTAGTGTAGTAGCGTATTGGGTCATAGTCACACAGATTCCCAAATCTGTCAACTTTTCTAAATTATTTTAAAAATATTATATTCTTTCTGTCTCTTTTCAAAGCACACATTATTTAAAGCTTTGGTTTTCTCAATATTTTGAGCTTTTTCATTATGCTTTCTCTGGAGTACCCTCCCTGCCATGTGGCTGCCAGTCTGTTATGTGTCTGAACTTCATGCTGGCTTAAACAGTATGGCTTCTCCATTCTTCTCCCCCAGGCAGCTGCTGATTCTTACAGTTTGCCATCTTTTTTTCCCTTTTAAATCCTAATAAAATTACCTCCAAATTTTTCTTTGAGTCTATTCTTAAATTAGTTTATGAGAATAAGAACCCTAAGTGTGAGTCTCAACCTCCCCTGCACCATCATGATACACTTACAACACTGCCAATAGGAGAAAATAAAGATATTCAGCAGCCATGTCAGAAAGAATTGAAGAGTCTTACTTTACAAAAGGATCAGTGACCCTTTAGAGGACGCAACCAAGAAGATGTGTGAAGTAAGGAAATCTGTTTAAGATATAAACAGAGAAGAAACTGAAAAGCATGGAGGAAGAGCTCAGCAAAGAAACCAAGACACTGAAAGATCCTAACAGAGACTCTGAAAATGAAATAATCAGTCAAGTAGAAATCACAGCAAAAAGCACTGTCAGCAGATAGGTAAGATGCTGAAAGCATCTTTTGGTAAGAAATACCAGTTCCTAATTTCACCCAACCTTTTCCCAGATGCACTGGCAAAAAATATATCCTCCTGCTCAAAAAGAACAGCTCATTTTTCTAAACAAAGAGGGATATGAGAAAGAAAAGAAAATAAAGAAACAAATGCTGTGTGAATTAGTGTTACATTCAGGATGAAATAAGAGCCAAATTCAAAAGGGTACTACTATACCATTTTTTGTTTTACTAAAACAAGTATTTTAAGAATGTAGTAGATTTAAATGTTAAAAAGCACTAGACTCAAAATCATGACTAATAGTTTACTCTGGACTTAATATTTAATAAGCCTTTTTAGGCCAAGGACTAATTATTTCATTAAACCCCAGAATCTTGCTCATCCAATACACACACAC